CCTATGAGGAGCGGCTTAAAGAGTGGTGCACGTTTAGCCTTCAGAAGAGAAGGCTGAGAGGAGACATGATAGCCATGTATAAATATGTGAGAGGAAGCCATAGGGAGGAGGGAGCAAGCTTGTTTTCTGCTGCCCTGGAGACTAGGATGCGGAACAATGACTTCAAACTACAAGAAAAGAGATTCCATCTGAACATTAGGAAGAACTTTCTGACTGTGAGAGCTGTTCAGCAGTGGAACTCTCTGCCCTGGAGTGTGATGGAGGCTCCTTCTTTGGAAGCTTTTAAACAGAGTCTGGATGGCCATCTGTTGCGGGTGCTTTGAATGCAATTTTCCTGCTTCTTGGCATGGAGTTGGACTGGATAGCCCATGAGGTCTCTTCCAACTCTATGATTCTATGATTCTAAGGAAAGAGAATAAAACAGAGAAGTTCTGCTTATGGCCATAGAAGCTTTCACAAATAACTGGGTGTACTGGTTTGAACATTGGGCTAAGACTCTTGAGAGTAGGGGTGTGATTCCACACTGAGCCTTGGCAACCCATTAGGTGATATTGGGGGCAGGTTTGATACTCCCTGCCCCAGGAAACCCCATGAAAGGCTCTCCTTGGGGTTTCTGTAAATGACTTGAAGGCACACAGAGGAGACATGATAGCCATGTATAAATATGTGAGGGGAAGTCATAAGCAGTAGGGAGCGAACTTGTTTTCTGCTGGACGCAATGGAGCAATGGCTTCAAACTACAAGGAAGGAGATTCGACCTGAATATGGGGAAGAACTTCCTGACAGTGAGGTTGGATGGCCATCTGTCGGGGGTGCTTCAAATGTAATTTTCCTGCTTCTTGGCAGGGGGTTGGACTGGATGGCCCATGAGGTCTCTTCCAACTCTATGATTCTATGAAGGCAATGGCTCTCCATGCAGTCATGCTAGCCACATGACTTTGGAGGCATCTATGGACAATGCCAGCTCTTCAGCTTAGAAATGGAGATGAAAACCAACCCCCAGATTCGGACCTGACTAGACTTAAAGTCAGGGGAAAACCTTTACCTTTACCCTGCTAAGGACATTGCCCAGGGGATGCCCGGATGTTTTGCCATCCTGTGGGAGGCTTCTCTCATGTCCTCACATGAGAAGCTGGAGCTGACAGATGGAGCTCACCCTGCTGCTCGGTTTCAAACTACTGACTGTCAGCAGTCCTACTGGCACAAGGGTTTTAACCATTGCATCACCAGGGGCTCCAATAAAGGTTGACATGGGAAGAATGGGTTCGCCAACTTCATCCACCTCCCTGGCACATGAAAATGCTCTTCTCTCCCCAAATTTCCCCATGGATATATTTGTGCAGGAAAACAGATCCAACAAAAGACAGACACTTTTGTGCAAAGTACATTAATTCCCAGAATACGTTGGGAAATGAAGCAATGCGTGTGCTGGGCATTAATAGAGGAACTATATTCCTTTGAAGTCACTGTATCATAAATATTCATCTTAAGGAGTACAATGGTTCGGTATATTAGAATGGATCCTGCCAAAGTGATCCCATGAGAGATCTGAATGTTAGTTCAAGTATTTATTAGGCCCCTTCCACACAGCTGAATAAAATCTACATTGAACCAGATTATATGGCAGTGTGGAGTCAAATAATCCGGTTCAAAACAGATATTGTGAATTATCTGCCTTGATATTCTGGGTGGAAGGGCGCTTAACCCATTGCTAAGATTTGAAGGTGGCCACAGAATGGAGGCTAATGCACCCCCATCCTTTGTAATCAGTAGGCATTACCACGTCATAGACCACTTGCTGAAAGGTTACCATTCAGGCGTATAGAGGAATGCCCATGCATGGCTGAGGACATCAAGGAAAACCCAGCTGCATGGCTCAAAAGCATCTGGACACAAGAGGGAAAAGGAAGCAACCACCAACATCCCCACAGAAAAACTGGGAGAATATCTGACGCAGGAGGAAAGGTGTCCACAAGAGCAGGCAGGAGGTTCTTGAGAACCTCAGATCAATGAGAAGGAAGGGTGGACCACAGAGGAGAAAGAAAGGCCTACTTTGGAGAGGTGCTTGTGTGACTAAAAGCATAATAGAGCATGCAGAAAGGGGAGAATGGAATTAAACTCACAAGCAAAGAGAAACAACAAATAGGAAAGACATTACAACCACCGTATCCACAAGGCTATGTTTCGTGAGCCCACCTCCCATCCAAATGAATAACTGAAACCGTGGATAATAGAATATATAACTAAAATTGTATTGGATTACACATCCAAACAAAAAATGTCTCGGTGCCTTGGTTTTTAGACATGTTCTTGGGATTATTTGGGGCACTGATTCAGAAAATTGCACTGGAAAGAAAACATCAGCTATAGTTCCTTAGATATGGTTATCATGGTTTTCTATGGGAAACAGGTGCCATGTTTAGAATCAGCATTTAAGACACCAAAACGTGCGCTGGCCAGTGATAATTAGATTATTCTTGGGCCTTTTTTAAAGTCTTACTTCTGCTGCAAGTTACTTCTGCTGTGCGAGAACTGGCCATCTGCAAGGACGTTGTCCAGGGAACACCCAGATGTTGAATAGGAAGCTGGAGCTGACAGATGGGAGCTCACCCCATCTTGCGGATTTGAACTGCTGACCTTCAGGTCAGAAGTTCAGCTGGCACAAGGGTTTAACCCAGTGTTTCTCAACCTTTTTGATGCAACGACCCCTTCATACAGTTCCTCATGTTGTGGTGACCCCAACCATAACATTATTTTCATTGCTACTTCGTAACTGTAGTTTTCCGATATGCAGAATGTATTCACTGGACAAAATTTGGCACAAATTCCTGAAATGCCCAAATTTGAATACTGGTTTATTTTATTTTATTTGTTGATTATATTTACTAGCTCTACCCGCCACGCTTTGCTGTGGCCAACCTTCCCTCTTTCTCTCCTTCTTTCCCTCCTTCCTTCACTCCCTTTCTTTCCTTTCTTCCCGTCTTTCCTTCTCTTCTTCCTTCCTTCTCTATCTCTTTCCTTCCTTCCCGCTTTTTCTTTCTCTTCTGCTGTCTCTCTTTTCTTCCTTCTCTCTTCTTTCTTTTCCCTCTCTTTCTCTACATTTCCCCCCTTCCTTCGCTCCTCTTTCCTTCCTTCTATCCTTTTTCTTTCCTTCTCTCCTTCCTTCCTTCTCTAACTTTCATTCCTTCTCTAACTTTCTTTCCATCCCCTTTTCTTTCCCTCCCTCTTTCTTTCCTTTCTTCCTTGTCTCTTTCCTTCTTTCCTTCTCTCTTTGCTTCCATGCTTCCTTCTCCTTTTCCTTCTTTCTTTCCCTCCCTCTTTCTTTTCTTTCATTTTCTTTTTTTCCTCCCCTTCCCTCCCTCTTTCTTCCCTTTTTTCTGTATTTTTCATTTAGCTTTTGGGGAGCTTTTTAAGTCCCATCTGCTGTGTTTTTCGGTGTTTTTATGAGTGAAGGACATACATTGGGTTGTTAGGTGTCTTGTGTCCAAATTTGGTGTCAATTCGTCCAGTGGTTTTTGAGTTCTGTTAATCCCACAAACGAACATTACATTTATTTATATAGATATGCTGCCCTTCTCACCCTGAAGGGGGACTCAAGAGCGGCTTACAAGATATATATACATACCATATATTAAATTATTAGCATAGTACAACATCAGCATTATATATTACTATATTGTACTACACCATTATGTTATAATATTATTAGTAATATTACATGTAATATATAATAAATAATTATAATATTGTATTATTATTAGTAGTATTATATTGCATTACACTATAATATATTTATGATGAGGTTGGGGGGACTGATTTTGTCATTGGGGAGTTGTATCACCCCAAAGGAGATTCAGAGCGGCTTACAAGATACATACAATATATTATATTATTAGCATAGTAATAGAGTTTGTCATAGAGTTGTAGTTGCTGGGATTTATAGTTCATCTACAATCAAAGAGCATTCTGAACTCCACCAATGATGGTATTGAACCAAACACAGAACTCCCATGACCAAGAGAAAATACTGGAAAGGTTTGGTGGACATTGACCTTGAGTTTGGAGTTGTAGTTCACCTACATCCAGAGAGCACTGTGGACTCAATGATGGATCTGGACCAAATTTGGCACAAATACCCAATATGCCCAAATTTGAATACTGGTGGGGTTGGGGTGATTGATTTTGTCATTTGGGAGTTGTAGTTGCTGGGATTTATAGTTCACCTACAATCAAAGAGCATTCTGAACTCCACCAATGATGGAATTGAACCAAACTTGGCACACAGGACTCCCATTACCAACAGAAAATACTGGAAGGGTTTGGTGGGCATTGACCTTGAGTTTTGGAGTTTTAGTTCACCAACATACAGAAAGCACCGAAGACTCAAACAATGATGGATATGGACCAAGCATAGCACAGATACTCAATATGCCCAAATGTGAACACTGGTGTAGTTTGGGGAAAATAAGACATTGACATTTGAGAGTTGTGTTGCTGGGATTTATAGTTCACCTACTATCAAAGAGCATTCTGAACCCCACCAATAATAGATTTGGGCCAAACTTCCCACACAGAACTTCTATGACAAACAAAAAATATTGTGTTTTCTGATGATCTTTGGTGACCCCTCTGACACCCCCTTGCTACTCCCTTAGGGGTCCTGACCCCCAGGTTGAGAAACGCTGGTTTAATCCATTGCACCAACGGGGTTCCTATATAACATACCACAAAACCTAGATGGGCTGAGAAAGTGTTACCGCAAATACTTCTATGGGCACAGGGGGATATATTTTGGATAGTAAGTAACCGTAGATATTGAATTCATGGATAATGGAGTTGTACTGTGCATCTCTTTCATAGTTCAGAGGGAGCCATTTGAGAACTTCCCTGACCATTGGATTTTTACTTTACTTTGAAATATCCGGATTTGAAGAAGTGAAAGAGAGAAACCGAGAAGAGAAGGGGAGACAAAGAGATCCCCGAGGCAAAACGATACTCACCTTGGAATTCTTGGCCCCGCTACGACCTGATTGGGAGGAACAGCTACGCTGGACGCCTTGCTCTGGCGTTGAAGGGGATTTGTCTGAAGAGTGGTCTGAACCTTTCTCCACCATGGTGTCTCCTTGGGGGTCCTGTGGCGTTGGAGACCGGGAGCGTTTGCGCAGGATAGGGGAACAAGCAGGAGTGCTGCGGTTTGAGTTACTGGCAGTGCTAAAGGGAGAAAGGGAGAGAGGCAAGTCAATCACCAGCACAGAAATACAGCAAAGCGCAGCTATAGCATGATGTCTAGGACAGTGTTTCTCAACCTTCCTAATGCCGCAACCCCTTAATACAATTCCTCATGTCATGGTGACCCCCAATCATAAAATTATTTTCGTTGCTACTTCATAACTGTAATATTACTACTGTTATGAATCGTAATATAAATATATGATATGCAGGATGTAGTTTCATTCATTGGACCAAATTCGGCACAAATATCCAATATGCCAAAATTTGAATACTGATGGGGTGGGGAAGGGATTGATTTCGTCATCTGGTAGTTGTAGTTGCTGGGATATATAGTTCACCTACAATCAAAGATCATTCTGAACTCCACCAATGATGGAATTGACACAAACTTGGCACACAGAACTCCCATTACCAACAGAAAATACTGGAAGGGTTTGTTAGGTATTGACCTTGAATTTGGAGTTGCAGTTCACCTACATCCAAAGAGCACTGTGGTCTCAAACAATGATAGATAGATAATACTCAATATGCACAAATGTGATCACTAGTGGGGTTTGGGGAAAATAGACATTGACATTTGGGAGTTGTAGTTGCTGGGATTTATAGTTTACCTACAATCAAATTGCATTCTGAACTCCCCCAATGATGGAATTGAAGCAAACTTGGCCCACAGAACTTCCATGACCAACAGCAAATACTGGAAGGATTTGGTGGGCATTGACCTTGAGTTTTGGAGTTGTAATTCACCTACATCCAGAGAGCACTGTGGACTCAAACAATGATGTATCTGGACCAAATACACAATATGCCCAAATGTGAATACTGGTGGAGTTTGGGGAAAATAGACTTGTCATTTGGGAGTAATAGTTGTTTGGATTTATAGTTCGCCCACAATCAAAGAGGCCCTTGAACCCCACCAATGGTAGAATTGGGCCAAACTTTCCACACAGAAGCCCCATGAACAACAGAAAATACAGTGTTTTCTGATGGTCTCTGGTGACCCCTCTGACACCCCCTTGTGACCCCCACCCCAGGGGTCCCGACCCCCAGGTTGAGAAACACTGTTCTAGGACATGACATTTGAAGACTTCAGGAAGGAAGATGAATCAGGACTTCCCAAATCTGGCTAAACAGGGAGACTCTTGGCACTCTATGATGCCCCCTCTAAAATCAGGATGTCTGACTTCCTATAAGAAGGAACCCAAAGGATGAGTGAAAGATGGGATGGGGACAATGGGCTACAACAATAAGCAAGACCTCTTAATGCTGACTAATTTGACTATCCATATTATCACACTGGGACTTTAAAGTGGACAACTTCATTTTTCTGGTGCCTGCAAAATTCTGGGAAATGTAGTTTAGGGTGGGGCCTTTTGTATGCTCAGCTAGAGAGGTCCTCCCTTCCCAAACTACATTTCCCAGAATTTGGCAGGCACCAAAAGAACAGGGCTGCCCACGTTAAAGCCCCAGTGTGATAACTAATTTACAAGGCCATAAAAATCTCCAGCAGCCATGCAAAGAATGAGGAAGTACTTCATCAGAGTCACAAATGGTCAGTGAAGGAACAGCTCCCCTGGTGGCCAAAAATACCCTCAAGAAAAGCTGGAATTGCTTCTGTGTCTGTCTATATATGTTGTGTGTCTATGGCATTGAATGTTTGCCATGTATATGTACATTGTAATCCGCCCTGAGTTCCCTGCGGGATGAGAAGGGTGGAATATATATATATGTTTTTATGGCTGTAAACCGGGCTGAGTCCCTCAACGAGGTTGAGAAGCTCGGTATACAAAACTGTGAAATAAATAAATAATAATAAATAAATAATATAAATACTGTAAATAAATAAATAAAAAATAAATAGCATATTTTAATTTAACACGTCAAAAGGACAGTAGGCCACAATTCTCTAGTAAACGAAAACTTAATCATTATCTTATGAAAAATATTATTAGTGCAGTGTTTCTCCACCTTCCTAATGCCGTGACCCCTTAATATAGTTGTGGTGACCCCCAACCATAAAATTATTTTTGTTGCTACTTCATAGCTGTAATTCTGCTACTGTTATGAATCATAATGTAAATACCCAATACGCAGGGTGTATTTTCATTCACTGGACCAAATTTGGCACCAATACCCGATACATCCACATTTGAATACTGGTGGGGTTGGGAGGGGGATTGATTTTGTCATTTGATTGTTGTAGTTGTTGGGATTTATAGTTCACCTACAATCAAAGAGCATTCTGAACTCCACCAACGATGGAATTAAACCAAACTTGGCACACAGAACTCCGATGACCAACAAAAAATACTGGAAGGGTTTGGTGGGCATTGACTTTGAGTTTTGGAGTTGTAGTTCACCTACATCCAGAGAACACTTCAGACTCAAACAATGATGGATCCGGACCAAACCTGGCACGAATATTCAATATACCCAAATGTGAACACTGGTGGAGTTTGGGGAAAATAGACCTTGATATTTGGGAGTTGTAATTACTGGGATTTATAGTCAACTTACAAACAAAGAGCATTCTGAACCCCACCAACGATACAGTTGGACCAAAGTTCCCACACAGAACCCATATGACCAACACAAAATACTGTGTTTTCTGGTGGTCTTTTGCGACCCCTCTGACACCCCCTCCTGACACCCCCAGGGGTCCCAACCTCCAGGCTGAGAAACACTGTCCTAGTATATATATTCATACTCAACTCAGTGATATATTTATATCTAAATTATGTTGTCAAATGGAGAGGAAGGTAAATCACATTGCCCATTGTTTTACAAAGGCAGCAGTAAAAATAGGTTCAGTCCAGTTACTTGAAATTAAGATCCACTGAAATCAAAAAGGAAGGTTGATCAAGAGAACATATGTCTATTCAGTAAAGAAAAAGACAATGGGAAATGAGGAAGAACACTATTGATGGATAGATTGATTCAGTCAAGGAAGTCATGGCCTTGGGTTTGCAAGAAGCAGGCGTGTTGATGACCTCAGCTCTTGGAGATCTCATAGAGTCACCAAGGCTCAAAGCCAACATGATTACAAATAACTATTTAGGCTGCATTGAATCTAATATACAAAACTGTGTTTATTATCTTTTTAATATTTATTTACATCACTTCTATCCTGCCCATATCAGCCTGAAGGCGACTCAGCAGGCCTGTAGCCAGGATTTCGTTTCGGGGGGGGGGGGGGGGGAAATTTTTTTCATTCGGGGGGGGGGGAGGGGGGGCTGAGTCTGAGTGAAAGAGGGTCTACCCTAGCAAACCTTTTGTATCATTACCCCAATACCCCCATGCATATGGGATATATTGAATATGGTGATCAGATCATGATTAAATAATGCACCAGTAAGGCCTTTTCGCGAACCACCATGGGAATTTCGGGGGGGGGGGGGCTGAAGCCCCCAAGCCCCCCCCTCCGGCTACATGCCTGCGACTCAGGGTGACGTACAAATCAGCAACAATTAGATGCCATATATAAAAATACATACATCAGTTAAAAGCAAAAAAATCACATCACAATACATTTAATAACCATAAAAGCAATAAACAATAAAAAAAATTAAAAACTATATCTTCTTGTTCAATTCCTCAACCGTTCCATCATCTTAGCTGTTCCTAGTCCTGGAAGGTTCATAGGGAGAGATGCGTTTGGATAGATAAGCTGGGCCGGAACTGTTTAGGGCTTTATAGGCTAAAGCCAACACTTTAGCCTATATTGTGTCCGGTAGCAAACTGGCAGCCAGTGGAGCGGGCACAGCAGAGGAGTTGTATGCTCTCTGAGCACAGCTCCTGTTAGTAACCTGGCTGCCGCATGCTGGACCATTTGAAGCTTCCAAGCAGTTTTCAAAGTCAACCCCACGTAGAGTGCATTGCAGTAGTCTATATGGGATGTAACCAGCAGGCATGTGCAATCCATGGTTCTAAATGGTTCAAAGTACTTACAAAACTAAAGTTCTGGTTGTGAAAACTAGGGGGCGCTGGTGCTTTGTTCTAGTGTTGCTAAAGTTCTGGTGGTGAAAATTTCAGAACTCTAACAAAACTTTTAAAATTTCATTATTTCATTATTGGTGATTTTTATGACACAACCTATTAGGAACTGCCATTTATAATGAAATTGTGTAAGTTGTGTTAGAGTTCTGAAAGTTTCACCATCAGAACTTTAGCAACACTGTAGAAGCAAAGCACCAGCGCCCCCTAGTTTTCACCACCAGAACTTCAGTTTTGTAAGTACTTTAAAACCATTTAGAACCATGGATTGCACATGCCTAGTAACCAGAGTGTGGACCACCGTGGCCGAGTCAGACTTCCCAAGGTACGGACGCAGCTGGTGCACAAGTTTTAACTGTGCAAATGCTCCCCTGGTCACCACCGAAATACTTCCTTTTATTTTGTACAACACCTGAAATCTTTTAGTTTGTACAAGATCAAAAATCATAAGCTCCATTTTAGGTCAACTTTGTATTAGAAAATATGTTCTGAAATGTTGTTTCACATCTGGCCATCATTTGATTTGCCAGATCTACATCCGAAAGCTGACCAGTCAAGTTTAAGGAATCACATAGGCATCCTTTGCAAATTATTTTGGCATGCTCATTTGGGTTATTTCTGGCATGAATGCAAATGCACTAATATTCACACAAAACCAAGCTTCTGCACAGATGTGCTCATCTCTTGGAGGGTATGGCATGCGCACGCATGAATGCTTCATTGTTCAAATTAAACTAAAAAGAGAACACTCATATATTCAAATGTAATCTTTTACAACAGATTCATCTTACATACAGTAGTCCATAAAGAGGAATTGATTAATCAGGTGATACACATGTGTGTGTGTTAAGCCATGTTTTATAGGAAACAATGGAGGACCTTCTTATAGCAACACCAGAGGCACTCCAAGTGGGCAGATACTGGTCAAAGGACATTTAATTAACTACCAAGCTTGCAAATTTTGTGTTTTGTCTGTTTGTTTGTTT